AAAAAAAGATCCTAAACAGAGAGGATGAATTATTAGTATTAAAGAAGGGCACTTTTGTTAGAAAATACTGATTGATTTTTATGCTTCAAAACTTACCTGTTGATAACTTCAGAGTAATGAATGTTCCTGAATTAAAAATGGTGAGTTCCTGCAATCGGTAGGCTAGTCTGATTGTTCGGAGTGGTGATTTGAGTGCAGTATCCTGGATCTATAATACAGAAACACGATCACGGAGCCTATTTCCTACTTCATGTCTTGTTATTCTTGTGGCCATGAAAACCACCAGCGGCACTGTTCAGTAAGTTGTTTGCTATGTTTGTATGATGTCCATCATGTATTTAATTTCCAAAAGTCTTATCATCCTTACCATTCTGTTATGAAGATTGCTAAATCTATGACATTCTGTGGGCTTATAAAGATGCTGATTTAATGGGTGAATGTTCTCAGGTAAAAAGGACCGTACAGGATACCAGCTAGTCTCAGGTATAAAGACATTTGTCAATCAGTACAAAATAGCTACTTCAATAGTAATGACTCTATGCTAACTAATAATCGAACACAATCCCCAAAATTTATTCTGTTTTAGGAGACAAGAGCGTTTCTTAAGTGTAACGGCTTTAGAAAAGCCGTGGAAACGCTTCTCCTGAACTCACTGGATTGTGTACTGCAGTTATTGTTAGTTATTGGAGGATACCATTAATTAGCTGAGTTGGATTGGATTACCTGGTTTGCTGGGAAAGACAGGCTTATTAGAAAAGTCACTAATGTATACTACTACAAAAATTCTTTTGTTCAGCGCAGGAATGACCTAGTTTTGCCTTTTCTTTTATATCTCTGTGAAACTCAGAGATGCAGAAAGTAGGGCAGAAGATACTGATGAGACATTTGCCCAAATAATGTGCTCAGTTGCTGTTAGGTTATTAACTAAATTCTTATTCAAGGAACCAGTTATCAAGTGAAAGTACTGTCGAGTGAGAGAGCATGTCTGCAAGCACAATAAACTGTTAGGAACAGATATTCCTATAAAAGGATTGAGTTACATTTTGGCTTACTTTTCATCTGATATTATCGGTGTGCAGGTATCTTAAAGTGATTGTTTTATGATGTTGAATAAACTCGTAGTCTGGTATTGAGATTGGTTGTAGACTGTGGAAGCAATAGCAAAGGATGAAAAAAAATCTTTTTATAATTATAGCAAACCAAACCATTTCATATTCTTCCACTGCATATTTTGAAGTGAAAACCTCTTTCCTTTCTATGCCTCTTGTCAAAAATATGAAGTTTTACTATGTCAGTGCCATCTATTCAAATGGAAAGAACCATTTAGATTTTTTTTTTCCTTTAGAGCCTCATCTTTTTCTAGTGCTGTAGCTGTTCCCCCTGGCAAGTTCCAGCTATATTCAAAATATTCAAATAAGATTGTCTGATAAGGTTGCCTGGTCTCTTAGGTTTTTAGTTATTTATAGGAAGAAATCTTTAAATGGTATTTAGAAGAAATAATTATATGGGAAGTACAAAATATATTTCTTACCGGTATTTCTTTCCTCCCTCCAACCTGTTTTCATGCTATGGGTCAGGACTTAACAGCTCTCAAGAGTGTCTGGCTGAATAGCAGCAGGCTTCTAAATCTCAAATCAAGTGCTCTTCAAAGCACCTTACTTCTCTTGAGATAAAAACTTGAGGCAGGTTTTTCTATCTGGCCTATTCATCAAGTATAGTCTACTGAATTGTTGACATTTCTAAACACTAAAGGGATTTTAAAGATCTTATTGCTCTAAAGAGACTTACTTGTAGTGGGGAATAAAGAACTGAAATGAAAAAAATACTGACACATGAAAAGTACAAAACTAAATAACTGCTAGAAACAGCTGAAAGCAAATAACTGTAATTTGACATATAGTTTCTATACAAAACACATTTTCGATGTAGGAATCTGCACAAATGTTCAGCCCTCCCCCTCAACTTCCAGATAAATAGTAATGTTTATTTCCATCCCAATTAGTCACGAAAGTCTTGCATTTAATGTGATACCAGTTTCTGTCATTCATATTTAATATATTTGTTTCAATTTACACTGAGTCCTACTGTCTTAGAGTAATTTAAAAAGGAATTAGTGTGACCTGCCTTTTAACCTTTCCCCAGCAACTTCTTATTCTGTGCTTAAACTTCCTTTAAAGCATTGCTTTGCCAAAGGGTAGGCAACATGACCGCTTGATCACCAATGCGATTTTTTTTTTTTTTTTTTTGCATAAGCAATATAAATCGCTGAGTAAAAATATGCCACAGGATGTTTTCATACCAAAACAGGTTGATCCAATATTACAGATATTAAATGACACTTCAGTGATTTCTGAAGTCTAAGATTATTTGGTAGTAATACTACAAAAGGCTTTGTTAGCTGGAGTTTTAACCTGTAGCCCTCATGAGTCATGGGGGATTAGTACTGAAAATAAGAGATATTAAAATATGAATTATATAATGTCTACATCCCTACCTGGGAGTTACAGGAACTGAACATACTTCCTGTATCAGTGCCAGTTTTTAGGATGAGAAGACAGTGACAGCAGAATTTTTTTTTTTTTTTTCTTTTCTGGGCCTGTTATTTGCCTTAGCGTGGAGCATCTGACAGTGGCATTTGC